GTCGACAGATAGGGTTGTTCAAATCGCCGCCAAAAACCATTCAGCCCTAAACTTAGTGGACCCTTCCCCCACGTGGGACTGGAGGGAGGGTGTCCCAAACCGGCGGAGGAGAAAATAATCCCGCCACACGTTTTAATGAAAAGCATCCCGCCACACCTTTACACACGCCTCCGGCGGAACATTTTTTTCGCGGTAATCTGCACGCAAAAAACACCGCCACACCTTGAAAAACTAATTCGGCCACACCTTTAAGAAGAAGGTGTGGCGCCACACCTTAACAAAGAAACTCCTTCGCCCGAAGGGCTTCGGCTAGGCGGGACTTCTCCTGCCTAGGTCCGCCGCAGGGAGGTCGGGAATGGGATTCCCTGAGATATCTCCCTGAAAAGGCTGAGGGACCAAAACCTTGGTTTTAAATCCCTAAGCGGCTTCTTCTTCTGCTGCTACTTCTACTTCTACTTCTGTGTGCATTACTTCCACTACACGTACTCCCATTGCAATGACCACGTGCGAAGCTGATGCAGCGGCATAACCACCTGTACCTGTGCGTGATCACTGCGACTGCGATCTACTGGCCACCAGCTAGTCAGCTAGCTGTACCAACTCAGTTGGCTCCTGCTGCTGCTGCTGCTGCTGCTGCTGCTGCTTGCCTTGCTACCAGCACCACGAGCACTACTGACTGACTATATGCTGAGCTTGCTACGACTACCATGCTACGAGCTGAGTGCAGGTAAACCATTTCAGGTCTCATTTGGATCCCTCAACCGACAGTTAGGCACCGTTGCCTGTCAGCCTGAAGCAGAATTCCTTAGCGTAGATAGCGGCCATTGGCATGGAAACGGCTACGATGCCTGTGCACTCCGAGACAGAAGTCGGGAATGGAGAGCTGTGTGTGCCAATGCGTGGCAGCATGTGCCATGAGTCCGAGGCTCCATGGAAAGGATTCTTACACCCAGAAGTCGGAGATGACAAGCCGTTCATCAACAACTCGAACAACGCCCGACCTAAATCCGAGCTGTTGACAAACAATTCCGGCAGCAATGTGAAACCGGAGTCCAAAATATGGCAAGGCAAGGCCGTGAACGAAGAGATCAGCAATGTCATTGCGCAAGATGGCATTAGTCAAGCGCCAGTGACCTTGTTGCGACCGCTTGCACAAGGGGCTGAGCACAATATGTGCGCCAAAGATGTGAAGACCACCCAAAACACCCAGACCAGCCAGACGCAACCCGCCTCAATGACATGGAACGCAAATCGAAGCTTGGAGGGCATCCCGCTGTCCAACGGATTGCAAACGTTGACTTTTGGCAGGGGCTTCAATCAGAGTTTGGTTGGCGTCACGCTGCCAAGCAGCCTTCGCACTTTGACCTTTGGCGAGTCCTTCAACCAAAGCTTAGAAAGTGTCACTTTTCCAAGTGGCCTACAGACTCTAATTTTTGGCGATAGGTTCAACCAGAGCTTGAACGGTGTGATGTTGCCAGATAGCTTGCAGACGCTGGCTTTTGGCAGTGACTTCGACAGGAGTTTGGATGATGTCGTGCTGCCCAGCGGCCTGCAGACGTTGACCTTCGGCAGGGACTTCAATCAGAGCTTGGAGGATGTGACACTTCCCAGCGATCTACGCACATTGATCTTCGGTGATTACTCGGACGAGAGCTTGCGGAATGTCAAGCTGCCGAGCAGTCTTCAAACATTGATGCTCGGCAAGTATTGCAATCTGAGCTTGGAGACGGTGGCGCTTCCTGAGTCGTTGCGGACATTGACTTTCGGCGAGCGTTTCAATCAAAGCCTCAAGGGCATCACGCTCCCCAGTGGCTTGCAGACACTTATCTTCGGCGATGCTTTCGATCAGAGTCTGGAAGGTGTTCTTCTTCCGAGCAGTTTGTTGACGTTGACTTTTGGCAGTGATTTCAATCAGAGCATGGAGTTTGTCAACTTGCCCAGCAAGTTGCAGATGCTGATCTTCGGCTCCGATTTCAATCAAAGTCTGAAGTCTGTTTCATGGCCAAACAGCTTGGAGACCTTGACATTACGGGGAAATTACAATCAGAGTCTGGAGGGCGTGGCGTTGCCAGACAGTCTGATCAGTTTGACCTTCGGCTGGAATTTTAATCAGAGCTTGCAAGCCGTCAAGCTGCCCAGAAACCTGCAGACCTTGACCTTCGGCAACGATTTCAACCAGAGCCTAGGCTGGATTTGACACTAACTTTTAGGTTTTAGGGCGTTTAGGGTTAAAGCACTGTCCATTCAATAAGGCTTTTAGGAACTGTATTCGCAACAAGAGGTGGATCATGTTCAACATTGGTTTTCACTACAACCCACAAAGCACGTGCTAATCCACAAGTGGCTTTAACCAAAACACGTACATAACCAGAAACCTTTTAAAGACTAAAGACCCTTGTTGAAAACCGCGTAAAGAATGCGCCAAGCCCCCCCCCCCCCCACCCAAAGCAGTTCCCGAAGCAACATCCGGGGAAACCCTAAACCCTAAACCCTAAACCACAGGAGCCTGAGGGATGTGGTCCTGCCGTGTGGCCTTCAGACCTTGACCTTTGGCCGCCTTTGGCAAACAAGCTTTGGGCTTTCGCAAGGGTTTGGAGTTTGAGGGGTTGGGGTTTGTCTTCGAGAATGCTTGGGGTTTGTCTTCGAGAATGCTTCTTATGGGATGGGGGTTTAGTGTTTGGGTTCATGTCTAGAAGAGCTATGGAAGATGATGAACATGAAGAAAGAGAAAGAACGAACAAAAAACACGGTTTACTCCCGAAATCGGACCTCGGCATAAGGCATCGTCATCATTCGACACCGCGCATAATTTACATTTAAGACTTGAAGACACATCATGACACAGAAACGACTCGTAACACTCCAGCAGCAACTGTGAGGACATTCGGCTGGAAGTTCAACCAGAGCTTGCAGGGTGTGACTTTGCCTGAGAGCCTTGAGACATTAACCTTTGGCAGTGATTTCAATGAGCCTTTAAACGGCATCACCTTGCCGGGCAGTTTGCGCATGTTGACATTCTGTGGGGACTTCAATCAAAGCTTGGATGACGCCAAGTTGCCAAGCAGCCTACAGGCGTTGACTTTCGGCTGGTGTTTCAATCAGAGTTTAGAAGCTGTTGCGCTGCCAAGCAGCCTGCACACGCTGATCTTAGGTGCGAATTTCAACCAGAGCCTGCAAGGCGTCGAGCTGCCAAGCAGCCTCCGGACATTGAAGCTTCGTGGGCGGTATAGCCATAGCCTCCAAGATGTCTCGCTGCCAAGCAGCCTCCAGACATTGACCATTGGTGAATCCATCATTTCTGGAGCCGAAGTCGCGAAGCACCGAACTACCTGATAGCCTGAGGGACCACATGGGCCCTAGAAAGCTTAAAGGGTTTATGATCCATATACCTTCATAAGGATTACGTAGAGCATACAGGGTAGACGACCCCCATTTTTGGGGCTCATTTGGTCCCCAAGAGGAGTCGCGCTGCCAAGCAGCCTGCACCTGCAGTCCACCTCCGGGCTTCTGGCAGTCCCTGATTTCAGTATCGTAACCTGCTGTTGCGTTGCCCAGCAGCTGAAGACCTTGATCCTTTCTGCGGGGATTTGTTGCTGCAGCTTTTGAAGGTTTTGTGCGGAAAAGTAGCTTTGCGGCGTCTTGAGTCTCAGGGGTTTAGGGTTTAAGGTTTTGGACTTGACGTCCAGGGTTTAGGGCACCTTACTGTGGTCCGCTTGCAAGAGATTCCCCCAGCCCCAACGAGATCATTCTTAAACTGAGCCACGATGCGTAGATGATTCGTGTCGGCCAGATGCAAGTCCGACTGAACCCCAAGCCCCAAGCCCCGAACCCCAGACCCTAAACCCCTAAACCCCTAAACCCCTAAACCCCTAAACCCCTAAACCCCTAAACCCCTAAACCCCTAAACCCTAAACCGTAGCCTAAACCCCAAAATGTGGACTCCCGCCTTCAGCGCTGTTGGATGAGGCTGTAGGGTTTAGTTTAGGGTTTGGGGTTTAGGGTTTGGGGTTTGGGGGTTATGTTTTAGGGTTTGAAGGTTATGATGTGGGGCCTCAAACACTGAACACTAAACACTAACCAGACTAAACACCAAACGCTGAACCCGCAATCGTTGCTGCATCGCAGGGCCGGCGATGATGCGGGTTCAGGTTTCAGGGGTTTAGGGTTTCGGCTCGGAAGGGGAGGAGTTGAGCCTGGGGACTGCTCTTGCCTAGGTGTGCCGTAGGGAGGTCGGGAATGAGGTTCCCTGACATAAGGGCTGAGAGGCTACAGCAATGACAACGAGCGACGTTGATTTGATAGTTGTTGAGCATGCTACGATTCTTCTGAATGCCCCACATGATGCTCCGGGGTCTCCTCTCCTGAGCGGGAAGTGGTTTGTTCGCACGTCGATGTTGATGCAGACATCATGTAGTTTGTTACCTTATAATTAGGGGTTTGTGCATTTTGTAACTAGTCGTCTTTTGCCTAGTCTTATGCAGAACCCTGGTGTCATGCACCGGCGTGTGATTACTTGGTATGTTGTGTGGCTGACGTCGCGGGTGCTGTCTGATGCCTTTAGCTAAGTTGATCTAAGTTGTCTTGGCCGGTCGTAGGATGTGGTAGTGACACGGCCGAGCGATAAGACAAGTTTTCGCCACGCTGAATTGGATCTAAGCTTGGGAAGTCACATGAGGATGCCAATGGCACATGCCAGTTTGTATCCGTAGTGTGGCATCAGGCTGCTAGGCAGGCAGGTGGCAAACAGAAGGCGAACACACCCAGGAATACTTCCCGGGAGTTAGGGACCTCGGGGAGTAAATTCTGTGTAAATTCCCGACGTTTCGCGGCCTAATTCTGCCAAGGCCTTAGCCCTGACCTGCTCAGACCCTCAACACCAAGACAAGACAGCTTGTCATTTTGGTTGGTTCTATGTCAAGGTCGCCGAGAATAGTTTATGTTTTTGAAACGCGTTCCGACATTGTTTGCGTTGAGTAAAGCTGAACTTCAGGCCAGCCCCAATGCCGACGGAGCAGCTTCTGGCGAGTATCAGCTCTGCCGCATCCGCTGCGAGTGGCGGCCAGTGCAGCTCGAATTCATGAGCGAGCGTTGCTTCATTATCCTCTGTCGTCAGGCCTGTATCCACAAGTTTCTAGGAGAAGTGCTCAAATACATGTCTGAAAACATGCTGTGTGCATGTGGCGAGGAAACCTGTGGCCTGTGATCTTGCGATGCCAGGGCATCACGGAGTATGTCATACGCCGTCAGCATTGTCTCTTAGGGACGCGAGTCCTCAGAGCCAAGCCTATAACCTTTATAAATTATAGGCCTTAGGCTGCAACCCCTAGACGGGTGGCAACAAAAATCCCGTCGGGGCTTGCCAGGTACAGGAAGGTGGTGGATGCCGAGTTTCAGGAGGCGGAGTGCCCCAACCCGAACTCTTGCAACCACACCAACATCCCCCTCAAGTCCTTGTTTCCGGCGCTTAAACTCCCCAACCAAAAGGATTCTGTGATCCTAAGCCATGAGAACCCTCTTGCGCATTTTGCTTGGGTATGGGCAGTTCATCGACTGAACGAAGGAGGCTGGCAGACTTTTCAGTTGAAAAGGGCCGAGCTATTGTAAGGAAGCGCCTGAGTAGCACCTGAGAAGCTGAATGGATTGGCAAACCTAGGCAGGTGATCCAAAGCCCTCCTTAGATGAGCAGCCCTGTCAAAGAACGACCCCCTTAAATTGGTGCCCTCATTGAACCCTAAACCCGCCCTATAAATCCTATAAAAACCCTACAAACCCTACCAACCCTCTAAACGCCACAAACCATATAAACCCTACAAACCCTAGAAACCCCGTCGAATGAAAATTCGCCTCAGGATGAGGCAGGAGCCCCCGAGCCTGTCGAGCTCTTCTACGTCCCCGCCACCAGCCGCGACAGCCTCGGTTGGATTTTGGCTCTCGCGTGCTCTTCCGGTTTACGGGGTTAAGGGTTTTAAGTTCGTGAGGGTTCAGAGGCCTGGATGTAAAAAAGTTCGTGAGGGTGTAGTTGTCTTGGTTCCTCTGGAATTCTTGCCCGGCAGTTCGAACAGGCCAGGGATTTCCAGTTCAAGTTATATGTTTGCTGAAGCCCCCTCGCTTTGCAGCCGACCTTGCTAGCTTGGCAACTCATGCACCTTGGCAGGACTCGTGCTCGGTGATCTGCTACATTCCATCCCTACATATCATCGAAAGCGCTAAACATGAAGGAACTTCCCTACCCTGAGCGCTGCTCGTCTAAGATGTTGGGGAAAATAGCGCACGGGGGGTGCCTGTGGGTGTACGCTCGATGTTTCGGCCCTTCCCTATTCCTGAAGAGTTCAGCGGAGCACTACAGAGTGACATGTTTTCCATAAGGAGCTGCACCAAACATTCAGCCAATTCCCTTCATTAAACAATTTCCCCAGAGATTGCTTCATGCTTCGGGCTAGACCCTTTCCTAAACATTTTGGCCGGGCCGACATCTTTTTCCTAAACTTCAAACAGGCATGCCCAACCACTAAAGAGTTACTCTAGGATTTTCGCAGAACATCAACCACCCAGCCCTATTCCTTATCACGTAATACCTACGCCTAAGGTCTATTCCAAAACGTTATTCGTTTGGCGTTTAAGCCTGCGTTCTACTAATTGAAGCCACGCCAAAACCTCATAAACATCTGCTACAGTTCTTACGGACATGCATTAGTATTTAGATTTCAACAGATAATACACAACATCTTTCTACACACTCACAGCCACACACGCAATTACATATACAAGTATGCGTACATATATATATATATGTAAGATAGCAGTTGAGACTATTATATATAGTACACGATGTGTAAGAGTTATTCTGTATGCATCATATTCTTACTGTTACTCTAGCGAATAGGTATTATTATTGTTATTATGATTATTAGTATTAGTATTAGTATGCGTGTTAGTATGCGTATTCGTACTAGTAGTAGTATTAGTATTAGTATTCGTACTCGTATTCGTATTAGTGTTAGTGTTAGTATTAGTCTTAGTATTAGTATTAGTATCAGTATCAGAATTACAATCACTCTTCTTCTTCTTCGTCTTCTTACTGTTTCTATTATTATTATTGTTATTATTATTGTATGTGTATGTGTGTGGTTCAAGGCCCCCCCCCCCCCCCCCAAAAAAAAAAAAACCTCGTGGCTTGTCTCAGGCAAGCGGAGCTCCGGGCACTGGGAGATCCGGCTCCAGGGCCGGACGGGAACACTCCTGGAGAGCCTCCGAGGCCCCCTTTTTGGGGGGGAGTCTTGGGGTTTTTAGGGTTGAGTTTTAGGAGTTTTAGGGTTTTCAGGGTTTTTAGGGTTTTAGGGAGAGAGGATTTAGGAGTTAGGAGTTTTAGGGTTTTGGGGTTTTAGGGTTTTTAGGGTTTCGGGGTTTAGGGTTTCGGGTTTAGGAGAGCCTCCGAGGCCCTTTTTGGGGGGTTTTAGGGTTTTAGGGTTTTAGGGTTTAGGGTTTTAGGGTTTTAGGGTTTTAGGGTTTTCGGGTTTTAGGGTTTTAGGGTTTAGGGTTTTGGGTCCTTGGGGGTTTTTTGGGGGGTAGGAGTTTTAGGGGGAGTTTTAGGGAGGGAGGGGTTTTATTAGTTTAGGAGTTTTTTAGGTTGAGAGGAGTTTTAAGGTATGGGGCTTATGAGTTTTAGGGCTTTGCGCTCACGTGTGGCTTCGGTCCCCCCGTACTTCGACTTACAAGCTTCGGGGAGCCGAAGGAAGGCACCCCAGGCATTTTGGGGGTTTCCGAAATTAGGGGGTTTAGGGTTTAGGGTTTAGGGTTTAGGGTTTGGTACCTTGTTACTGGTAAACTTAGACCGGCTTTCTGAAGCAGCAGGAAAAAGGGGTACCTTCTGGGGGTCCTTATGAAACAGGAGTCCTACTATTTTGCATCTCTAGGGGTCCCCTATTTTCCTAAACCGATATGTTTCTGAACCCATCCTGCCACTGCAAAGCCCGCGAAGCTTTGGTCGGTTGTTCTCCCCCGCAGCGACAGCCACATCACAGCATTTAACGCACCTCAACCCCAATGATGTCGTTTTTCTGCAGTCTGCACCCTACATATCCTCGGTGAGGAACACATGTCTGAACACACAAGTCCTAAACCCTAAAGCCCTGGATCTTTCTTGGATATCCTAAGCTTAAGGCCCTCAATCATCATAGGCATGCCAAGTGCACCCGAGCTTAGAACGGCCCCCCCCCCCCCCCCCCCCCCCTCCCCTTGGACTAAAATCCACCAAGCACACCATCAAAACGCTGTGCGTTTCCCTTGTTTGCAGGAGATGCCCTCTTGCCGCAGGACCTCGAGTTAGGCTTCAGGGTTTTGGATCCAGAAAATCCTAGTAGGGCAGCCACACTCTCCTAGACAGAGCCAGGGATTGTGAGTTCACGGCCCTACCGAACCCATCCGAACTCATGCTCTTGTATTCGACGAGCCCTGCAATTCATGGCATCTCACCAAGGCTTGCAACCCTGGAAAGCACGTAGAAGCCTGGAAAGTCTGCCTTCTCATCCTTGGCCCCTAAGCATCCCAAAGCGAACAATCGAGACGTGTGGGTGCAGGGGTGGGGGAAAAGAAACCCAGACCCGAAACCGCCCGAAACCCCAAAAAGCCGAAACCCTCAGATGCTAACTTCGCCGCGCGACCTCCGCAGTTTTTCTTGGGAGGACTTGGGCCCTGCCTTCAAGGTGGTCGACACGCGGCGGGGTCCCCAGAGCTTTTTAGTGGATTGTGAAAGTTTGTGTCCCAAGCCCCCTAAAACCTGAACCCCAAACCCCAAACCCCAAACCCCAAACCCCAAACCCTAAACCCTAAACCCTAAACCCTAAACCCTAAACCCTCTACGTGGGAGCAGACCGAGGCCCATATAAACAAAATCTGTACGAGTGAGTGCCCACTTAGACCGAGGACCCGCGATGCCCGGCGCTTCACACACCAGCCCCTTGCGCAGTGCCTGGGACAGCTAAGTGGTTTAGGGTTTAGGGTTTAGGGTTTATCATTTGGGGTTTAGGGTTTAGGGTTTAGGGTTTAGGAGGCTTCGTGAGCCCCTCGTGGAGGGTGAGACAGCCAGAGAGAGAGAGAGAGAGAGAGAGGAAACACGAAGATAGAAAATGACTTTCTGAGACCGAAGCGTTTTTCCTACCACACGTGTGTCTTTATGTCCTGTCCCTACCTAAGAGCAAAATCGCACTCATAGGGCTGCAAGTCAAGGCTGCGGCCCGTGATCGTATAGGTCAGGATGGGCGCCGATGTCTTGCAAGGGGGTTTGCACGAACTAACTTTGACGCGGCGCATCCGTGTACAGGCGTCCCCTGAGGCCGAGAAAGAAAAAGAGAGATACAGAACGACAGGATCAGGAGAACATAGAGTTCAACTCACGGTGTAGAGGATGTGTGGGTTACGGCTTCAATGTTTTCAATTGGCTGGCATGAGAGGCGCAGCTTAAGCGTAGTCCAGGAACCTAAATAATGAACAAGATGATCTCCTTTGTGACCCTATGCATTCTTCATGTAAGCTACCAAAATGCCCAGTCAATGAAAGAGGCCTCTAAATATGGTGCAGATGAGGCTGGTGTCGGAGGTCGTGGATGATTTCGAGCAGGACCAGCAAGACCAGCCATCACAAGGTGGGAAGCATCCAAATCAGAAGCATGCCTCAAAGGGCTCAAAGGGCACATCGTTCAAGGGTTTGTGAGTGCAAGCTTTCAAAGATACTTGTGCGTGTATCTGTGGGGTGTCCTGTTCCGGGGATGCTCGCCATAGAGCCCCATATTCTGGTACTCCAAAGCATGAACTGAGGCTCATGGGGAGGGTTTCGATCGGAGTCGGTTTAGGGTTTAGGGTTTCGGGCTTCCAGTGCTCTGACCCAGGTGGGGTAGACAACATCCAGGACCATCGCGCGATCACCAGCGTCATCCGCCGGTGGCACGTCTCGCGCTTCAACTGGGTCGTGGCCGCTGCCGGGCTGCACTCTCACGGTTTAGGGTTTAGGGTTTAGGGTTTAGGGTTTAGGGCGCCTAATCTTGAGGGGCCGGGGAGGTTGTGCCAAGTTTGGTAGGAGTCCGCGTGTGTAGCTGAAAGCTCAGAATGCTGTGACGAAGCGTTCTGATGCTGATGCTTTTCGGCAGCAAGTGCCGAAGAAGGCTGCCCCAACAAATTTTATATGGTTTTTTGAGGGCAGTCGATTGGCATGCTGTGTGTCGCAAGATCTCTGGATTGACCCAGTAGGCTGGCAGCTAGAATCTCTAGCTTCCGGTATCAAGCGTTCTGCATCGACCAGTCATGATGGCAGCGCACGCAGGGCGCCGCAATAATAAGACCATGGAAGTGCATTGATTCTCTATTAGACACAATAGGCTGCAGATCCCTGAGGTGCTGTAGCTTCGCAGCTCAGCAAGCAAAACAAGAAGCCTGCCGACAGATTTTTGACACCTCCCGCCCCCCCCCCCCCCCCCCGAAAACATTTTCTTTAAATGTGGCGGTGTTTGCCCATACGAAAACCACCGTAATGGAAAGTAGTCTTCCGGCGGGCTTCTCGACGAATAAAAACTCTTTAAATGTGGAGGTATTAATTTAGAAAAACGTGATCGGATGATACTAACAGTCCTTAATAGGGATTATAGTATTTTCTATTATAATCCTTAAGGACTGTGGGTATTAGCGGCAACATCCGAAGATCTCCATCTTAACCCGAAGAAAGCCACAGGTGCGGGGTGTGAATTGCTGTTCGCAGCTGCTGGGCGAGCCAAGCAGGATCGATCTGAATCCAGCCCCTTGCTGGCGGTTGGGGGTTTGAGGGTTTGAGGGTTTGGGGGTTTGAGGGTTTGAGGGTTTGAGGGTTTGAGGGTTTGAGGGTTTGAGGGGTCGTGGCGTTGTGGCGTTGTGGCGTTGTGGCGTTGTGGCGATGGCGCCGAAGATCAAGTCCTAGGCCCGTTTGTCATGCGCATTCCTGCGGCTAATGCAGGTTTTTCAATGGGCTTCTGGCCCCATGCGTACTGCGTAATGCGCCGAAAGGGCCCGTGAAATGTTCGGGGACAGCGTAGGCTCGGGGGCCAGGATGCGATTCTGGGCTTAGGGCTTAGGGTTTCGGGTTTGGGGTTTAGGGTTTGTAGGAGCAACGGTCGAAGCAAAAAGTCCCTTGCAGCAACTCAGGGTTAGGGACCTCGATTGTGTGCACCGATGTTTGCTCGCCTTCTGCCAGACCTGACAAAGCCCACAGCAGCTGTAATCGCTGCTGTGCGCATATTCGTGGCTTCTCATGTCTGCTTGAGTAGAGTTCGATTCTCGGTTGGGCGATTTTGCAGGCATTGCTCACGGACTGCCACTGCGACTTTTGCGGCCGGCAAAGGTGGGGCTTTCATGCAGTAGCCCACACACCAACTTGTATGTGAACGGACTATACGACCTTGGCCAACATTTCGCAATTCGAAATTGGCAGTGGCTGCCTGGCGGAGCCTCCCCATAGAGTACCCTACAGGAAGATGTGGTTCCAAAAACTAGACCTCCCGTTTTGGCCACATTATGAAACGATATTATTGCGTTACTCGATGCCCCCCTCAAGGCACCTCTTCTGCGTGCGCGCGTTCCGAAAGATTGGCGCTTGCCCCACACGCTGCGAGCGCTGCGCGGCAATGGGCATCAGTGAGGCCAGGGTTAACACACAAAGGCTTCTTTCAGGATAATAAGAATATCAGCACATAACACTATCCGAATATACCAGAATATAAGCATATACCAAGATAGTAACTTAAACAATAGAGCGATACTTCGGCAGAGTGCAGAATGCGTGGGGCCATCCTCTACTCTGCTGAAGCTCCAGGCTAAGGTTAAGGTCCTAACCTCCTTCCCAATATTAGACAGTCCACAAAATGCTTGTAACATCAACAATATATACATCTATATACATATGTATACATGGTAACAAGTATAAATGTACATACATATACATATATGTGTGTCTTTTCAACGGTGGATAGCATAGGGTGAGGAAGGCTTTTTTGGTACTAGGGGGGGATTCCTTCTTGACCCCAGAGACACATTGATGCGCGGCTGCGCGCCCGCGGCTGCACACATACGTTGGAGTTTTTGCAAGGATGCGATGCTGTTACGCCGGCCCAAGGGGTTCTTTCAGAAGCATCGAGCAGCCAGACCATTCACAGATTGAGAATGCGGATTCTTGGTACAGAAATAGAGCCTATATCAGAGGCACTCGAGCAGAGTGCTGCTTTCCAAAATGGTCGCACTGATATTGGGAGGTATGGCGGACGGACCTAGAGTTGAGCGATGCCCTGAACATCCCTGAACTAGACATGGCACATCGCTGGCTCGAAGGTGTAGAAAAGTCCAGAAACATGAGCAAGCAAATGCGCAGGACGGTCCACCGGATGGAGCTCGGGCTTGGTTATGGGCTCATAGCCGAGGTTGCAGGGGACCCTCGGACCTCCCAAAGTATCTGCCAAGCCAAGCCAAGCCAGCCTGGGCACGGAGGCGTTGGATCAGGCCGCAGTGGACCAGCGCCCCTCCGCCTGCATTGACAACTTTCATGCTCGGGCCGGCAAGGGGCGGTTTCAATGGTTCCGAAGTGGTAGGAGCAGAGCGGCTGATTTGGTTTGACCAGGTTGGTGGTAGCTAGAACCTACCAGAAGAGCTAAGACACAAAATCCAAGTGCCCAGGGCAGATGATGCACGAAGTCTTTTGGTCGTGCCCGAAGTGCATCGATTACCTCTTTGGCAGCTCGGCGGTCCAAGCTTCAACATCGAGCTGTCTCCGCCCCTTTAAGCAGGATCGGTGTTTCGGGGATTCTTCGACATGTTTCAAGCCGAAGGTTCGGGGGGTTCAGATGTTGGGTGCTTGGGATGCTTTGGAGTTTTGATAACCTCCTGAGCAAGGCGTTCTGGTGCTGAGCCCTTCATTCGAGCTAGACGACGGAGCTACGATTCTGTGCTGTCTGTCGCGATGTAACGCGTGTTTGGTGCCGGTTTGCACCGTTATGCCTTGCGGCTTCAGGGCCAGCCTCAATCTAAGTGTCCAGGAGTACCGCAGAGCAGTTCTGCGATGTTCTACGCAACCTTCTCAGCTAGCTCCTACGCACTCTTGTGCCTACAGCCCTAGTTAAACCTCGACTTGTCGGATGCCGCGGAATCCACGCGATGCGGCTCCTCCGGCGATGTTGGTGCGGGATACTCAACGTGCTGGCAGCCAATGCGCAAACTGAGCTACGAATCGCCGGATCTTCGACCGTGTATCCGGTGGCGCGCGCTTGGTCCGAATTGGCTGAGCTGCAAGCAGCTTATAATCTGACGCTGGAAGGAGGTGGATCCAGCTCGGGAGCGATGCGTGTGTGTACCGACAGCCCCCAAAGAGTAGACATCGGGTGCATGTCGAGGCAATGGAAGTCGAAGGAGGCTCTCCTCCTCGATGATGGTTACACCTACGAGTGTGTGAGCACAAAAAAGCGCGTCACGCAGCTGCAGGTTGGAATCGACGGGATCGCAGTGGTCGTTTCGAAGAACAGTGCCGGACACGATTGCCTGACGTCCAGTGAAATGGGCGGCCTGACTGCAGCGCAGCTTCGTTGGATGTTTAGCACTTGGACGAATCGCCAATTGGCAGATGCTGGCTTGGACATGGCATCTGTTGTACCCAACGATGATGGAGACACTGTCAAGGAATGGAGTGACTTGGGCAGCCACTGCCCAGAGGTGCCGATCAATGTCTACGGGCCAGGCGAGCAGTCTGGCACCTTCGAGTTCTTCCAGGAGGCCGTGCTGTGTGATAGTGATAACTGTCCCGAGCCAGAGCACTTCAGCTTCTGCGATCCGAACGTGACGGCAGATCTGGAGCACGCTTCTCCCGAGCAGCTCGAGAGCGCCGTTCGCCAGCGTCAGCGCCCTCTGAACTGCTACATGGCGTCCGAGACAGACGAGACGATCTTGACCTGGACCCTGGCGGACCCTGGCGGGGTGGCATTCTTCGGCTTCGCCTACTACGTGCAGAACGCTGCTCGGCTCACTGTGGTCCGCATCGCCGATGATAAGAAAATGGGTGTTGCTGACACCCAGGATGCCAAGGTGGAGCCTTCGCCGTACTCCATTGTGGATGGATCCTACGACTTGTTCCGCCGCGCGCTGTACATGAACGTAGACAACGCTCGGTGGGACCGCTCCTACAGCTACCTGGCCGCCGGCTTCAGCCAAGCGGGGCAGCGCATGGTCCGAGAGACGGGGTATGTGGCCATCAACGCGAACCTTGCGAAGAAGATGTGGCAACGTATTCAGCAACAAGGAAACCACGAAGCTGACTATGTGCCGTTGCGGCCAAGCATCTGCTGGAATGGCAGTGAGCTCATCGAGGAGCCGTACCAGAACCAGTGGGGAAATCCCAAGATTCGATACCTTTGCATGCCCTGCGTGCCGGGATCGTTTAAGCTGCTGAACACGCCATCGCGATGTGTCCCGTGCCCGGCTGGGAGCGCCGCACCTCGACTGGGACAGTCGCTGTGCCAGGTCTGCCGACCCGGCGAGTTCTCCTCGGAAGGTGCCTCGAACTGCACCGCCTGTGACAGGAACTCGGCTGCCGGCTCAGCTGGGGCCGCAAGCTGCGACACTTGCAAGGCAGGCTATTTCACCAAGGCTCCTGGCTCTTCGGAATGCACCTTGTGCGAGCAGGGCAAGTTCAGGCGAGAGGAGGACGAAGACTGCATCGAGTGCGGGGGGCCGCTGACCACGCGAGTTATCCCTGCCGTTGGTCCTGGTGACTGTGTCTGCAAGGAAGGCCTGTATCGCAACAGTGACGGCGTGTGCGAACAATGCCCGGGAGGGATGAGCTGCGCAGTGGGAAGCGACGTCGCAAACTGGAACTCTACAAGAGCGCACCCCGTGTTGAAGCCCGGTTTCTATGCCACCCATGCTGAGCCCCTCAGCGCTTTTCAGTGCTTGAGATACGATGTCTGTCCTGGTGGCGAGCCGGAGAGCTGCAACGGAGGACCAGGGACGGGCCAAACACGTATGACAGAGTTCGGGCTTTGGAGCGAACACTTTAGACAGGTCGCAAGGCTCAACGTTCAATCATGTTCAATCATTTGGTGGGGCTCCAGGGCGTTTAAACATGTCCACCGATCCTCGTCTTCAAGGGGGGCGGGCTTGAACAGGGATGGGAGGCTTTGGGTCAGGTTTGTGAGAGGGTTTGAGGGGGAGGCTTCAGTGAGTTCTGCGAGGTCAGGAGCAAGGGTCCCTAGACCCTAAACCCTAGCCCAGATCCCCCAAACAGAAACCCCCAAACCCCAAAACGCGTACTCTTTGCAGCCACTCGTGTGCTTAAAAACATTTGACAGTTCAAACCCTTAAATTTTCAACCACGTTTAAGCAGTCTGTAAACCGCTGCACGTTCTGAACCGCAGCAAGGGCCCTGTTTGTCTAAACATTGTGCGTTTAGACGCCCAAAGTTTTTAAGCCGGTTAAAAGGCAACACCCCCCCGCCCAACCCTATGGAGGACTGCAGGGCTTGGTTTGTCACCATTGCCCACAGGGCCAGCAGTTGAAGGGACAGCAGTGCGAAGACTGCACGCCCAACGGCAGAGTCCTCCTCCTCGGCGTGGTCATTCTCGGCATGGTCAGTATCATCGTCGCCCACGTCATGGCGAACTGGCCCTTGACAAGAGGCTCGCGCACGGTCATGACCGCGGTGTTCTTCTGCGGCATGGCAGTCACCATTGTGTTGACCTTGGGGGTCTACGGAACGCTGGACGTCATCTGGGAATCTCCTCTCAGTGAGTTCCTGGTGCTTTTTTCGATCCTCCGGCTGGACTTGGAGAACTTCTCGTTCTCGTGCTTTGTGGGGCGGAAGGATTTCGTCGTGGAGCAGTCGGTGAAGATGGTGGGCTTCCCTCTCGCATGTGCCGCGGCGGCGGCTGGATCCTTCCTGCTGAGCAAGATTCCGAAAACCAGGCGATTCTCCAGCTTCAATGCCCCGGCACTGATCAACACCGCGGGATTCCTCCTCTCCGCGCTCTTGGTCTCCGTATCCTTCATGAGCATGGATGGCTTCCGCTGCAAGCAGAACCCCAATGGCAGGCAGATTCTCCGTGCCGATGGCCACATTGTGTGCTGGGAAGGTGGTGTGCACACCGACCTGCTGGTCCTGAGCTCTTTGGCCATCCTGGTGTATCCAACCTCTTTCTTGGCCTTGACAGCTTACGCGGCCTTCAACTTCGCTCCGCTCTCCGTGCGCTACGGGGTCCGCTTCACGGCCTCCGTGCGTTTTCTGTCTGGCCGCATGCAGCCCGATCGGATCCTTTTCGGCCTTGCGTGGAACGTGCGAAACTTTCTAATCTCCCTGGTGCCCGTGGTCGCTGCCAATGACTTTGCAATGCAGATCCTCCTTATCTTGGTCATCTTCCTCCTGTGGCTTGTGGTTCAGTCGACGTATCAGTGCTGGCGCTTCGGAATTCTGAACATGCTCGACACGGTGGTCAGCGTCTCGCAGGTCATCATGCTGTGGCTCTTCACGTTATTCGCGGACATTCCGAATAAGGACATGGTTGGGTGGTCCATCATCACCATGTTCGTTGCGGTCGTGATGCTTCTGGTGACCAGCGCAATGCTGAAAATCGTCCTCTTTCTGCGTGGCCGCAAGCATTACGACATTTTCATCTCGCACCACAAGGCCGCTGCTGCGCTTGCAGCGAGGCATCTGAAGACCTTGCTCGGGATGTGTAGCACCTCGTTCAATGTCTTCCTGGATGTGGATGAGCTCGACAACCTGGATTACCTGACCTTTGCTGTGAAGAGCACCCGGAAGCTGCTGGTGCTTTTGACCAGTGATGTCTTGACTCGACCTTGGTGCGCCCTTGAAATCACAACCGCCTTCCTCAACCAGGTGCAGATCGGAATCGTGGACCTGACCGTGGAGCAGGTGGACCTAAGGGATACCAGCTACCTGAAGCAAGTCCTGAAGTCCTTCACGGAGGAAGACCTGGGCCTCTTTGCAAAGCACGGCATCACCACCAAGGATGTTGCGAATGCCTTCTTCTACCTGCATAAGACCTCCAGGACGAAGCTGCGCCTGGACCTCTGCGATGCACAGGTGCAGATGGACTGTGTGTTGCAGGCGGCTGGACAGGAGATGGTGAGACAGATTCGGAGGCCGAGGATGCCGTCCATGGATGCAGACAAGACCTTGTACATCGTCTTCAACACGCAGTGTGAGAAGCAGTGCAGTGTGGCGTTTCTGCTGAGGCACTCCTTTCGGGAGTGGCACTGGGATGCGTCCATGTTTTGTCCAGCATCGATCCGCCGGAGCCGACAGGGGCCCGGCAGCCCAGGTGCTGAGCTCATGGACTTCCTGCCTCTGAAGCAGCGGTCCGTTGCCATTGTGCTGATGTCACGGGGGCTTCCATATGATGCCGTTGCCGTGGGAGGCCTGGTGCTTCTTCAGCGGGCAGGCGTGGGCATCATCACAGTCCTGAGCCAAGAGACATTTTCGAGGCCTGGTCAGGACTACTATCAGCGGCTTCTGGCCAACCAGGTGTTTCAGGGGGAAGACGCCGATGTGCTCGATCATCTCTGTGCTGGTTGCACTGGGTCGGAACTACTTCGAACACTGAAGCCGCTGTACAAACTGCTGGCATGGATCGTTAGCCCGGAGCAGCACATCAGCTTATTCCATCAGGAAATGAGAGTCGTGCGCCAGCGTGTCGAGAAGGAGTTCATGCGACGCTCACTGAAGCTTGAAGCCCAAGGCCAACGAACATCATCCTGCTACCCGAGCGAGTACAGGAGCCCCTCCAGTGATCTCGACATGCTCGTCGGCAGCAACGCGGAGTCGGCGAAGTTGGAGGGGTTGCCGGAGATGGAGATTGCCCACACGCTCTCGATGCGCAGCCAGTCGGCCATGGATCGTCTCAGCTCCGAGGAGGTGCGGGCTGCCGAGATACACCGCTCATTCTCTCTCCTGGAGATGAGCCGTGAGGAGGTCTCCTTCCACCTGCAATCTTCATGGAATGGCAACCGGGAGATCTTCTTCGCGGTCTGACCTGAGGAGCTGACGCTTTGGGGGCGAGCGTCATTCTAGTGTTCTTCACTCTGGAACCCTTCATGGGCAGAGTGTGTGTGGGCATGGTTTGGGCAGGGTCTGGAGCACCTCATCATATTTTGCTTAGCTTTGGTTGTGTGCGTTCAGACTTTTTGCCCTTTCAATTCGATGCGAGTTTTTCCTGGAGGCACAGGCCTGGCAATGAATGGGTTGCAGCCTTGCCGCTCTTGCCGCTTGTGAAAGTTCACTGAAGTTTCTTGAGGCCGTTCCTCCTGGAATCCCCCCCCCAAGCCACCTGCTTCGGGTGCACCATGTACAGCCGGGTGCGGACGCTCTGAAGTCGGCAGCGCGCACCGCGCACCTACGGCTCGCCGTTCACAGTCTTGACCGCTGTTGACGTCCGTGCCACGGCGTCACGGCGATGGTCGAAGGCTCCAGCTTTGAGCTGGTCCTCCAGCTCAAGATTCTCAAGATGCTCAAGGCCAACCTCTTGAGGAATGGACCCAAGCTAGGGTGCTAAGGCTGCTAAGGTCCCAGACACATAGGTTTCGGGAGCCAGGGGCTGTCGACAGCCCAAAGACCGCTGCAAGGTCTGGGCATCTTAAGTTCGATTCACTACGGCGCTTTCTCTGAAACCAGCTGCCAACCTTCAGGCGCCGCTTTTCGCTGCTCTTTTCTCTTGACGCTGGACTTTTAACTTTTAACTTTGCTGCACTTTTGCAGCTTGCAACTTCAGATGAGAACTCAGGCCCTCAGCAATGACTGAGAAGCAGGCGTGACGCAGAACATGTCGTTGGGTTGCCACGGTCTGCTTCTGAAGGCGCCGCAACTGAAACCCGAGGCCCGAAGCTTACTGAAACCCGAGGCCCGAAGCTTAGCAAGTCACACACGAGCATGTGCGGCAAGGTGAGAAAGCCGCACGGCTGCGAGAGAAAGCCAACGGCGCGAAGAAGAAGCGCGCCAGCACGGGCGCAGATCCAAAGGACTTTGGGGCTTGGGGCAACCACTTCTTCGGGGCTTTGGCAGTTTGGGGCGCAGGCCCCTCTTGCTGGGTTTGCTCGGCTGCTCGGAGAGCGCCAGTGCCTCGGCCTCAGCATGGGTTCAACACAAGATAGAGCAAGGAAGAAGGATTTAGGGTGGGGGAAAAGGGTTCGAAGAAGAGAGGTACGCTGCACCCTGTGCCCAACATCCACGCGTCATGTTTACGTGGCTATGGAAATCTTCTTCGCCCTACCCCTCTGAAGAGTTAAGCCAGTGAAGCTCTTGCGGCGATTGTGGGAGGAGATCATGGCGCGAGCTGCCGGGGAGGAGGACGCTGCGACAAAGGGCTCGGATCTTGCAGCTCGGATTGCTTCCCCCTGATCATTCCAAAGACCCGCTTGTAAAGAATCGTGTTTTTCCACTCACTCGAGTCTGCAGTGGGGCCCGGTCCAGTCAGCCGCAATCCTACACCCTCGGCCCAAAACTGGTGGATCCCTGGGTCACAATGGAGCCCCAGGCTGTGAAAGAGCGTGCAGCACGGGGTTGAAGTAGTTTTTTCAAACGGCTTCGTAGGCCCCCCTAACCCGAAAAGAAACCTAAAGCCCTCAAGAGACTGAAGCCCTGCTATAAATTTTCTAAACCCCATAAACCTTATAAGCCCTAAGAACCCGATATAGACCTCAAAGCCCAACCCTGAGGCTCCGAGCACGAAGTCGCCGATGTGTTGACGGTTCACATGGCATGGCATGGGACACTCCCCAAAAAAAATTTCAAGGAGTCATTAGGTAGATGGAAGGGGTTCGTAGCAGGAGGGCATGAGGCCACACAACCCGAAACCCTGAACCCTGAAGCCTGAACCCTAGAAAAAAAACCTAAACCCCAGACCCTGCTCGCAGGACGTGCGTGCCCTCCAAGAGAAGAGGGGGAGGCGGGGCCAGGAAGTGGGGATGGCCTGGGCAGGCTGAGGGCTGAGGGGTTAGGGGTTTAGGATCTCTAGGGCCCAGGCTGCAGGCTGCAAAAAAGGGATTTAGGAGATCCAAGCCAGGGGGCCCCAGTTTTGTAGACAAGAGTTGACTCGATGTGCTTCGGTTTCATTGAGAGAGTTCCAGGGCCTTGGGCCTGCTTTGTCTTTTGGGTTCAGTCTGGTGTGGCACCTGCTGCTGACCACTGGTTCATGGGCTGCTCCCCTGATTGAACGGTGCGTGGGGCTTGCGGCTTTACTGGAAGACGAGCTGAACCCCAAAATGGCCTATGGCCCCATATGCCACACTCGGGATCTGATAGTATAGGGACGTATAATGTTGACCTCGTTTTAATAACCCCCCCCCCGTCTCAATTGTTTTTTGTTTTCGCCCCGACCCCCCGATTGAGAGGGTGGCGGAGTCGGGCTGTCCCGAGCCGCCCCCAAGCCCTGCCCCGGGGGTTTATAATTGAGTTCCGGGCTTGGGAGTTTCTCAATTGAGGGGGGGTTTCTAAAACTGAGGTTAACATTATGGGGGGGTATATCAACGATCCCACTTTCAGGGTTGGTTTGATTGCCATGGTTCTCTCGCTTTGCATAGTGGTCTGGGCCTCAGGTATCCTTGTGCTTCTTGGGGGTTGGTGTGTGTGGGTTGACCTGTGCGTAAACCCTAAACCCTAAACCCCAAAGCCTCAAACCTCAACCCTGCAAGGAAGAGGGCGGCCCCTGAGCCAGAGGCCGCACGTGTGAAAGCGGTTCGAGGGCTGTGTGGTTTCACGGTTTCCTTGGGGGCCAAAATGACCCCTAAACGGCTTTCCGGTTGTTTTGATACCTTAATTAGTGAGAATTAGAATTAGAGCATCGGGTATATGACCCCATTCTTAGGGTTCATTCGGTCCTCTGACTTGAGGCCAACCAACTCTTGGGGTAACGTAGGGCTTTTTTGGGGAAGGTTTCGTGGGGTTCTCTGACTGAGGAGGGTGGGGTTTGCAGTTGGAGTTAGGGTTTGGTAAGTGAGGGTAGCTTCCTCGGTTTTCGCGGCAGTTTTTCCAGGCCTGGTTGCAACAAAGGTTTGTGGAGTGCGAAAAGGCTGCCTTCGTCTGTCTTCTTGGGGGTTTTGCCAGCCCAAGTTCCTGAAAGGTGTGCTTTGGAGGATCTGCGTTCGGAATGCAATGCCTTCCGGTTGGGGGGGGGGGGGGTCGTTGTCATGCACCTTGACAGCAGCAGGCTTCACACACTTACTATCGCAGTGAACGTCAGTGCAGCTAGGCAGGAGGGAGAAATCTTTCGTTGAGGCATCCCAAGACTTGGACTCTGACGAGGATGAGGAGAGCTTTCCTCGGGTGTGCGAAGCCCTGGACGAAGTGTGCGAAGCCTAAACTCCCGTTTAGGGTTTAGGGTTTAGGGTTTAGGGTTTAGGGTTAAAACCCTCAACACACTGCAAGGCCGAATCGCAGGCACAGGGCCCCACACCCATCTACCTCCTACATGCCCTCACTGTGCCCCCACCCTGCTTGGCCTGAACCCTAAACCGCAGGGTTTAGGGTTTAGGGTTTAAGGTTTAGGGTTTAGGGTTTAGGGTTTCGGGTTTAGGGTTTAGGGTTTACCGAATCCTTGCTTCCTTTAGCTTCAGCAAGCGCGAGAGCCGAGACCCTAAACCCTTGCCTGCCTTGTGCGGGAGTGAGCGACTAAACCCCAAACCCTAAACCCGAAACCCTAAACCCCAAACCCTAAACCCTATAAATCCTATAACCCTATAAACCCTATAAACCCTATAAACCCTATAAACCCTATAAACCCTATAAACCCTAAAACCCTATAAACCCGAAACCCTAAACCCTAAACCCTACAGGATGCAGATGCCCCGCCCTGCCACTGCGGGATGCCCGCGGAGCGGAAGACTGTTAAGTGGGGCGCGAACGCGGGCAAGGAGTACTACAGGCTGGCTTCAAGGGCTTAGGGGTTTAGGGCTTAGGGGTTTAGGGGTTTGGGTTTAGGGGTGTAGGGTTTAAGGGTTTAGGGTTTAGGGGTTTAGGGCTTAGGGGTTTAGGGGTTTGGGGTTTAAGGGTTCAGGGTTTAGGGATTCCCATGCTAGCAGAAATCTCAGATCTTCAGCCGCGGCGAATCAGGAATTTGCGAGTCCTCCATCTCTAGTTTCACGGGGTAGCCACGAGTTGTATCCCTCGCAGGCTTGTCCTCTCGAATGCCTGGCAGAGAGAGAGAGAGAGAGAGAGAGAGAGAGAGAGAGAGAGAGAGTCAGAGAGAGTCAGAGAGAGAAGAGAGAGAGAGAGAGAGAGAGAGAGAGAGAGAGAGCGGAGGGTCGACAACTCCAGGTCTCACGGCAGACGTGGTGTGAAGGGACACGGACACAATGGGGTGTAGCAGGGGGCGGGGCTTACGGACACAACAGGGGGGCTTAATGGGGGGCACGTAGCACAAAACCTCACACCACCGTCTCCAAACGAACCCACGAACCGCTCCAGATCAGGGGCGGGCGATGACGCCCGGGGGCTTCGGCCTCCACGCCCTCCGAAAGAAAGAAAGAAAGAGAGAGCGAGAGAGAGAGCGAGAGAGGATTCTCGTGACTAGGCCTGGATGTAAACAAAAATGCGAAAAAGCCCCCAGCTTCGCTTGAATCCCAAAAACCTTGGAGCCCGACCTCCCAAAACTTTCTGAACCCGAACATTCCCCAGATTTCCCCCAGCAGTGGCCCTGGACTCCCGAGCCAGAAGTGGCGGTGACCCCGAACTTGGGCTGCTTGAGTTTGGAACAAAGGCCCCCAAACCCTAAGCCCTGACGCCCTAAACCCGAAACCCTAAACCCTAAACCCTAAACCCTAAACCCTAAACCCTAAACCCTAAACCCTGTGAGGTGCTGCATCTTCCCCGAGGCCGAGCACTGCGACTTCTTCGTTTGGGCGGGGGCCGCGGGGGCTCCGCGCTGCCGGTGCGAGCCGCCCCAGGTGTCGGGATTGGGAGCCGGGGGACTTAGAGGTTTAGGGTTTAGGGTTTAGGGTTTAGGGTTTAGGGCTAGGGTTTACAGGTTAGGGATGAAGGATGGCCCAGGACTCAATCGTCCAGGGCCTTGAGGTTTGGAGCTTAGGCCAGGCCAGCTTCATGTTTTGTCAAGGGGAATGAGGGTTAGTTCGTGCATGGTTTGCAAAGAAAGATGCCAAGTTCTAGATGCACGGCTCTGTGTCACTAATCAGGGTTGATGGAGCAATGTTTATCTGAGCGTTCTCGATATCGTGCAATGCGCTCCGTTCTGCGTGAAGCAGAGGGCTGCGTCTGACCGATTTGCTGATCAGGAGGCGAATCAGGCAATGGGTGAACCTCGAAGTTCGCCCGATTAGTGACACGGAGCCGTGCATCTAGAACTTGGTCTGTTTCTTTGCAAGTCATGCACACTAACTAACCCCTATTTCCTGTGTCTGCCGCGCAGTAGTGCGCCCATGAGGGGTGAACGTGAAGGGTGGCCTCGCCTGACAGAACTGCTGAGTGTTGAGAGAGAGGGAGGGACGGGCGTTGCAAGTGTTAGTCGTTTGAGCAGGCCTCGTTGCACAAATGGGGTCGCTGAGCGGCGTGGGTTTAGGCCAGGAGTTGGGTGCTCGCAGCAAGTCTAATGCTAAATCTTCCCCTACTAAAATACAACGAGAAAATTCCTGTCTAGGACTTCAGGGAAAAAAACCGAAGAGCCCCGAAAGCCCATCTGCTTGCGTGGAGGCGGCGATCCAGCTGGAGGTGAAGAAGGAAGGGCCCAACCAAGGACACTCGGCCAAAAGATTGTGGTCCCAGCCCCCTACCCAGCTCCCCCTGTTTTGGGGGGGGTTTAGGGCTGAGGGCTAGGGTCCAGGGTCAAAAGGGGGATTTTGTGAGTGAGTGCTGCTAGATGGCCCTGCCCCCCAAAGAGACCTGAACACTCTAAACCCGTGAAGGCTTCAACTATGGACTTCTTTGGGGCCAAGCGATGGAATTTAGGAGACCCTTCACCCTTTGCCCTTTCAGCCACATGCTAGAAGGCTTCCCTTGGACCCCTGACCCCTTGCGGCACTCTGGTCTCACGACGTCTCATGAGTCCCATCCTCGGAGCCGAGCACCTGAACCTGGGTCCCCCGAAACGCGGGTCAAGTAGAGTAGACCCTGCACTCCAGACATCCTCCCGTAGCCACCCTCAGGCAAGCGCTTCTTCAAGTGCCCGAAGCCGCGGGACCATCAGTGCAGCTACTTCGAGTGGTTGGACAAGGCCCATGGCAGCCGAAGGGCTGTAAGGTGTTATGTTCCCCGGAATACTAACCTCATACAAACAGTCCCTAATACGGTTTATAGTACCCCCTCTTATAATCCCTATCTTATAGTATGAAGAGGGAAGATCCCAAGGTGTAGGGTTCACTGCAGGGTTCTTGGGAAGTGGAACAGCAGCTTCAGAACGGGCCTTCTTGGGAAAAGATAGGATGCCCCTAAACCCTAAACCTAAACCCTAAACCCTAAATCCTAAACCCTAAACCCTAAACCCTACATGTCCATGTCTGGGATTGAGGAGTTTCAGGGTGACTTAGCCCCTCATCTTCCTCAAGGCCCGAGCCGATCCCAGAAATGGGGGGGCGGGGGAGATCCCAAGATTGAAGCGTATTCCCTATCGCCTAGGGTGGGCAGGCTGCCAACATGACGGCCTGCAGAGCCAATAGGGTTTACAGGCTTATCGAGTTTCGACGGTTTAGCGTTTAGGGAACATAGGGAAACAGCACACAGAGACCTAAACGGAGGCTAGCCTTCGGGTTCTCAGTGTCCAGGTACCGGGTCAGGCCTCGAGCGCGATGGCCCAGGGCCGCCTCTGCATGTGCGGGCAGCACCCCGGCCGGTCGCAGGTTTAGGTTTTGCTGTGTGGGGGTTCCATAATGAGGGCTGAGACTTGTGGGTCTTTGGCTTACAATGAGTTACTCCCGCGAAATATCTGATAAGACTGACGATGACAATGATGACAAGCCAGGGAAACCGTAAACAGTAGGCATGCGCAACTAGACCCTACGTACCTTGAAAACAAAGAAGGGCACCTTCTTGTCATCCAAGGACCGCCATCAAGTTTCAGGTGCAAAAGGAAGGACCGAACAAAGGCCGGCTCACCTGTTTAGGGTTCGGGGTTTCGAGAATTTCCGGAGTGTTCACTTGCTGCAACTTCAAGGTTTTACCCATAACTTTAGGGAGGGGAGGGGTGAAAACAAGCTGCACTTGGAGGCAGGGTTATAGCTTGAGGTATTTACGGGTTTGGGTGGCCTCTTCCTTTGTTCTTATTCGGCTTGCGTGGTCATCCTACCCAGAAGGCCAGTCGTTCGGGTCAAGCGTGTGAATCTCCAGCTCCAGGCCGGTTCTTTCTCAAGTGCCCGGCGGGCGCCTGCCTACGCTTCTTCGAATGGCTGGACGAGCCCCCCAGGCCTTCTCATGGTTCTTCGGGTTTGCCCCCTAACCCTAACCCTAACCCTAACCCTAACCCTAACCCTAACCCTAACCCTAACCCTAACCCTAACCCTAACCCTAACCCTAGGCAGGCTGGCCGTATCTGGAGGGACGGGACGGACCCCCGCGAAAGAAAGAGAGAGAGAGAGAGAGGGGTTTCACGGAAGGTAGGGGGGTGATCTTAAAGCCCGCTCTGTTCCACGTGATGCCCTGAAAACGGGGGTGGGCCAACCCCGCATGCTCCCAAACAAGGAAAGGAAGAAAGAATGACACATAGAGAAAGGGAGAAAGCGAAGAAAGAAAAAAATAGAGAAAGAAAGGAAGGAAGGAAGGAAAGAAAGAAATAACGAACAAAAACGAAAGAAATAAAGAAAGACAGAAAGAAAGAGAGGCACATAGAGAGAAAGAGAGAAAGCAAGAACGACGGAAAGGAATAAGCAACACATCGAAAGAAAGAAATCAAGAACAGATGATGAGCGAAAGAAAAGAAAGAACAAAGAAAGAACAGCACAAAGAAAGACAAATAGAAAGAAAGAGAGAAAGCCATAACGAATGACATATGTCAATAGAGAAATAGCGAAAGAAAGCAAAAGCGAACGAAATAAACAAATCACTAAAGAAAGAAATAAAGACAAATAGAGAGAAAGGGAACGCAAGAAAGCAGAGAGAGAGAGAAAGAGAGACAGAGATAGAGAGAGAAGAGAGAGACAGAGAGAGAGAGAGAGAGAGAGAGAGAGAGAGAAGAGAGACAGAGATAGAGAGAGAGAGAGAGAGACAGGGAGAGAGAGAGAGAGAGAGAGAGGGAGAGAGAGAGAGAGAGGGAAGGGAGGGGGATGGAAAGAGGGATGGAAAGAGGGATATGGAGGGGTCCATCATGCCACGGAAAAAGGAAACTTCTCCCCTGGAGGTGCACGTGTTTTCCTGCTTTCAAGCACAAGCGAAGCCCAGCGAACGAAAGAAAGGGAGGTGAAGGGGGAGAGCACGCACGGGGTGCCCAGACCTGCTGAGTGCCGGGGTACTGATGCACACCCAGAGGGAAACCTAAACCCTGAGACCCGATTCTGAGGTCTGAACCGCGTAAGCCCCCTGAAAACCCCAAGGTTTCAGGAGCCCTAAGCCCGTAATGAGCCCCGACCCCTCAGGAAGTGGCCAAAGAATCCGAACCCTTCCTGGACTCGCCGCGCCAGCGCACCGCCGGCGCCGAGCGGCCACGCGGCTGCGGCTTCGGGTGAAGGCTTTAGGGGTTTGGGGTTTAAGGGTTTAGGGTTTAGGGGTTTAGGGGTGGGGTGGCCGAAATGGCAGGCAATAGCATCTGCATGGTATGACTACGGTCAGCGGTGCCAAAGCAGAAGGGGAAGCCTGTCCCTGTTGGGTGTGGGGTCTAAATTTGTTCCTGGGAAGAGAGAGTAGCGGGACGGTCGGATCGCCGGGATGTGGATTTCAAGAGCCAGACTCTTGTTGGTGCGGCTAACCGAGGACATGCGAAAGATTGCGTGGGCATTTTGGCTGAACTTGCCCAAGGGTCTGCTCATAATATGTATATATATATGTATATATATATATATATATATATATATTCTTTTTTGTATCAGTACACACATGCCTCAGCCCCTCAGCGCCTACTCCCCCCCCCCCCCCCCCCCACACCAGCAACCCCTACAACAAGGAGTCCCAGAAGCCCAAACACCCTTCGAAGTCCCAGGAGCCGTCCGATCAGCCCTAGAGGCCACTGAAAGCTCCTAAACCCTAAACCTTAAACCCGAAACCCTAACCCCTAAACCCTAAACCCTAAACCCGTAAAAACCAGCTGGTAAGAAGTATCGATGCCATCCCACCCTCGAGCTCCTAAACCCCCTAGACAGTCCAAACCCCTCCGCAGCCGCAGCCCATGGCCGCGAACAGAGATGGGCTCAAGGGCAGTGAGGTTTGTGGCAAACATGGCTTTTCAGAAGTAGCTGGGCAGTTCTCAACATTTGGGTTCGTTTGCCTCTCTTTGGGCATTCTAAGCGGAAGATCAGATTTTCGGAAAACCACCTTAAGCCCAGCTGTTGTCTGCCGTCGCAGGGTTCAGGGTTTTCTCTTGGGTTTGACACCTACATAGGATTTAACCCAGCTTAGTGGCCTCGAGGCCAGGAGGGTTTTTGGGTTCCAGAACACAGGGGTTTTAGGGCTCACGAGCGCTCAGGGTCAATGGCTGCGCAAACATCAGCCACCCCCCCCGAAGCCCTAAATCCTAGCTAAGCCCCCCCCCCCCCCCCTCCCTTCTCATCGCAGTCTTGCGAGAGCCATTTGAATCGCCCCCGTGGTCGGCAGCGACTCGGCCCATGCGGTGACTGCCTGGATGTGCCTACCGATGCTCAGCAGGCTCTTGGGAGATTTTATGTCGTGTTCCCTTCTTGTGTCTAAGGGGCTTTCATTGTCATACTTACCTCAAACTCCAAGCCCTAGAATGATGTGCCTCCCTTCTTGTGTCCAAGGGGTTCATACTTACCCTCAACTCCCAAATCCTAAAATGATGTGCTTCCCTTCTTGTGTCTAAAGGGTTCATACATACCCTCAATTCCCAAACCCCAAAGACAATGAAACCCTAAACCCTAAGCGAATCTTCTTCAGGGGCTTCTTCAAGAATGGGCCCCCGCCGAGGATGAGCCTCAGTAAGATGAGCTTCGTCCGAACGCTGTCCATCACTTTTGGTATGGCTCCCTGTTGCAGCTGCGAGCCTTATCTATGAAGAGCCAGGCTTATGGGTTTTGGGGTTTTGGGGTTTTGGGGTTTGGGGTTTTAGGGTTCCCGGCTGGCTTTCAAGAGGCCTGGATGCAAAAAGGGTTTTTGGAGTTTTTAGGGCTTAGCAAGAGCGAGGGTTTGAGGGTTTAGGCAAAAAGGGCGAGGATCTCTCTAAACCTGTTGCAGAGAGGGTTCATTACATGGGGTCTCCGAAATTTGGTGTGCCCCTGTTTTGGCAGAGCCGAGCATGACATGCATTGTAGTGTATCTGGGGGTAGACTCGGGGTAACTCAAAATTGGGAAATGTCCGACAAGTAAGATGGCTTGGAATACATCGTGATACACATCTGTAGTAATATAAGAAAACAACAATAAAACATAATAATATATCATTTTTTTTGTGGAAAGCGGCCCCGGGGAGGGGACCTGTAATCGTAAGGGGTCTTCGAACCCGACATTGCTATGGAAGCGTAGCAGACCGTAAAAGCGCATGTGTATGCGGTACCCCCAACCCCCCCGCCCACCCCAATGGTCGCACATTTCGTGTCGTTGCGAGCTTTGAGAGCAGCTGTTTTGGAGTTTCCAGGAAGAGCAAGGTGGCAACACGCTGCATGTGGTGCAACTTTCCAGCGAGGCCTGAGTTTCGCAAGCTTCATTGGCGGTTGAAGGTTTCCACTCTTGCTCTCGCTCGCGTGTTCTTGCGCGCTTCCTCCCTCTCTCTCTCTCTCCCTCCCTCCCTATACACTGACTGAAAGCCATGCTCAAACCTTCAGCCTACGAGCTGCAGCTCAGAAACCCAGACCTCTCTGGAGCGGAGGCTTTGAGATTTGAGGAGGGCTCACTGCCAGGTCATCATTCCTCCTGCGCAGCAGCTGTCGGCTACTGACACCTTTGTGGCTGGGCACGCTAGAGGGCGTATAGGTGCCGCCAAGATGGAGTTCCAGGGCCCATGCTTTCAGGATCGGCAACGGCCCCCACACTATAGGGTGTCGACAACTTGCCTTTCGGACGAAGGGCCCAAAAAAAAAGCACTCTATGCGTGCCGGCTTTGGAGGTGTTTGTGGGAAGCCAGGCCGGTGAACATGACTCCTGAGCGTAAGCCCTAGAGGTCCTAAATCCTCTGAGCCCTGAACCCGATGATGAGGACGTGGCGGTTTCGCCCAAAGAGGCCCAAGACTGCCTCAGGCGCCGTCCACCGGAGGGGTTTAGAGGGAAGTTCGCAGGTTTCCAACCCAAAACTTCCAGCATTCCGCAAAATCCCCCCAAGGCTAAAGTCAAACGCCTAAACCCTAAGCCTTTCCACCCCAATCAACCTGGAGAGCGACTGCAGGCCGTCATGCATGGCTTGGTTCGTCCGAGCCGCGACCCCCGAACCCCCATGTCATTAAAACACGTTTTTCTTTTTTACAAACCCTTTCAGCCCTACAAGCCTTGAAGCTCTACGTAAGCAGTGAAGCCTCCCAACCAAAACATCTCTCAGCCCCTTACCCTCACAGGAGCCCTGTGAGTTCAAGGAGCCAGCACTCCATAAGCAGCCTTGGGATCACCAGGTGCCAGGAGGCCTGGAAGTCGCCCCGGCACCACCTCAGGCAAGGCTCGCTCTCTCTCTCTCTCTCTCTCTCTCTCTCTCTCTCTCTCTCTCTCTATATATATCTATGTGTGTATATGTATCTGTGTATTTATGTATATTGTGAAGTCGACCAGCACTGGACTTGCACTAAACCAATGCAATCACAGCCCGGCCACGCTGTTTTACGACTTCGCGAGTTCAAGCACTTGTGCAGCTACGCCTGAGTGCGTCCGGTCGGACCGCACAGCAACCTAAGAGCTACTGTACGAAACTACCGTGCTCAAAGGCACAAGCTCGGTACTTGAGCCAAAACATTGGCATTGTTACGAATTGCAAAACTACACATGCAAAGGAAAACAACACGCTGCACTAGCACTAAGCAAGCACTCCATGCATGCTTTGACCTGCTCACATTCGCCCCTCAGCCGAGGCTTCCGGCTCACCAAGAGCTCGTAGTACGTCAAGCACTTCAGCAACGCGGCAAATGGGGTAGGGCGAGGGTGTCGCGTGCGACCCTGGTAGAGCCCGCACATCATGAGCATTGGCATGCGGCTTCGGCGGCAGCCCGCACTACCAAACGGACGCACGACGACAGCAGCCCTCTACGACCCTAAACCACCCCAAGTCGCGAGCGCTCACCTTTGTGCAGGCAGGCGAGGCTCCAGAGTACTGGGCAGGTCTTTGTGCTGCTAGTGCAAAGCTATGGTACAAATGGTACACTGTACACACTACCGGCCCTAAGCTACGGCTACGGCTACTCACCTATCCAGAACTACCCTACGGGCTACCGGACTCAGCGAGAGCCGCGCACATTGCTTGTGCCGCAGCCAGTGCAACTCGCACGCGCTTCGGCGAGCGCACTGCCGCGACCAGGACACGGTCCGCAGCACCTGCAAAAGAGCTCCCTCGACAAGAGGGGCCACAGGCAGGGCGGAGAAGAAAAGTGCGGGGAATGCAAAATGGGCAGGCTTCCAACCTGCCGCGGCTTTTTCGCCCGCAGTCACGCAAAGAAAGTGCAAAAGGTTGGCGAAGCAGCGTGCCGTGCTGCAACGCCGGCTCTGATAATGCGTGGATACATACCACGCCGCGCCAACTGGCCGCAGCCTACTCGATACCCTGTGGAGCAGTGTTGGGGGCACGAGTGGCGTTGCCAGCAACGTTGGAGCTACTGGCTCGCTCCAACTGAGGGCGCTTCGCAACCGCCTCATCGAGGGAGAATGCCTCAGCCGACACCCTCTGGAAATCCTCGACGTAGGACTGCGCGACAGGGTGCGTCTTGGGGACCTCAAGCTTAAGCCCTGCTTCCGCATTGGCCTTGCTGCTTGTGGTAAAATTGAGGCTCCCAATCAGCACCACCGCGCCGTCAGGCCGCAGTAGGCAAAGGGCCTTGGCATGGTGCAGCCCTTGAATCCCGGTGCCTACCTTAGCCCCGCGGCCGTCGCGAGCATAGGCGTCGCGCAAGGATGTGCCGCAACCCACCTTCACCTCGGCACCTGCGGCCGCCAAGCGTTTCAACGCTTGCCACTGAAGCTTGGTGCGGTGGCATTGTCCCATGTCGGCGACAATCCGAACGCTTGCGCCCTTGCCAAGCGACGCTTCGATTGCCTCGATGCAGGATGGGCAATCTAAGCTGTAAGCCCGGATGTAGATCACATCCTCTGCTGCTCCGGAACCAAGCAGCGTTTGGGCGGCCTGAATGTATGGCCCGCCCGCAAGGAATTCCGCTTCTTTGACTGGAGAACTCCTAGCGGGGGCTGGGCCCTTGTTCCTCCGGCTTGGCGTGCGCGCCACAGTGGCAGTGGCGGCACGTTGCACGGAGCCGGAATGTGCGTGGGCTGCGCTCGCTCCATCTGCTGGGGCCGCGGCCAGGTCACGACCCGCGAGCCCCTGAAAGCAGGAGAGCCCGCGGCTCTTGGCCGCGAGTTGGGAGAAACACCCTTCACTGTTCCCCAAACCCAACACCACCTTACCCTTAGCTAGGGCATCGGAGGCGGTACTCCGAATGGAGTCTGTGAGCGCAGGACCCGCGCCTCGCTGGGCCGCGTGCAAAAACCCTAAGGAACGAGCGGTGTCCATTGCGGCATCGCAATGCCCGCAGCGTCCTTCTGCCAGGTAAGCACGACAGCCACAGGCAGCTGTCTCCTCCTTGAGATGCACCCAAACCTTATGGGTCACCCCTTTCTTGGTGCTCGCGACCTCAAACGTCGCTTCGGAGCCAAGGAGCTGAGACAGCCGCGCCTCAGGGGCCGCGGTGTTGCCATGTCGCAAATGCGCAATGCGATTGGCAACGGCACGACTCACGTACCACAGAACAGCACCGCACAAGATCACTACCACGAGAGTGATGGCTGTTCCGGCGACCCACACGGTCCGCCTCGCCCCGTGACCGATTTCCTCGACCACGTCGGCCGAAATCGTTGCAACCGCGTGCATAGAGTCCTCGACAACATGCACAGCCCCGCGGTGCAACTGCAAGGCAATCGGCGCCGACGCTGCAGCCGCCAGGCCCCACCAGCCGTTGATGTTCCCGTTGAGGGCGTGCATCAACCGATTGAGGAGCCCGCGACCTAGGAAAAAGGGGGTCCGCGGCGGAAGCGGAACACTCGGCGGCGGCCGGGCCGACCCGCACGGGAAAGCTGGGACCCAGCTGGTGCTTGGGCGGGGTTGGAGCGCGGCAACAATGCCCGCGGCGAAAGCGCCCCAGGCGTACTTGCCCCTGCCCTTGGGCTTGCCCTTGGCATCGGACTTGCCCCTGCCCTTCGGCTTGCCCTGGCCCTTGCCACGGGCGTCTGCCCAAGCACCCCACGGGTCGCGGCCCTTGCCGTGCGTCGCCTCCTCGCGACGTCTCTTGCCGCCCCTCTTCTTGTGTTTGCTTCTAAGAAGAGGCTGGATCGTTTCCTGATCCATCGCGCGATTGGCCAGAAGGATCTCGTACTCCAGCTCATCTTGGCTGCTCTCGGAGCCCGAGTCCCTCTGTTCGCCGCGCCGCGGATCCGGGATCCCGCGGGACACGACCTCTGCCAAGCGGAGAGGTGTGCTGCACCTAAAGCACAACTGCCTGAATGAAAGGTTCCATTCATAGCAGTTAGGGCACTGCCACCCTGCTATGCGGAGCGCTTCGCTGATGTGATCATCGCGCTCCGCCTTCTCCGCCTGGCGCCGCTCCCGCTTCTTGGCGCGCTCGGCCGCCTGCGCCTCCTCGGCCGCCTGGAGGGCTTCAGCGAGTTCCTCATCGCTGAGGAGCCTCGCGGCATCTGCCCGCGCTTGTTGGTCTTCAAGCTCTTCGGCAGAAAACCTCCGCCGCCATTGCTCCGGCGCGGTTTGGGGATCCACCTCCCACCACCCGATGTCGATCCCATTGATCCATCGGCCGTCGCACGGGGCGCCCGCATTCGGGCCGCCCGCGTGCGTGGTGAGGCACTGGTCCTCGGTCACCGGGTTAATGGCTTCGCAGAAGAAGCACCGCCAGCTGCCGTAGGGGTAAAAGCGGCCTTCGACGTAGGCTCGGTTGGCTGGGAGGGCGACCTCGTCCGCCTCATCCGCGGTGGCAGCCTCCATCTCAACCGAGACCTCCTCGTCCTTGACGACCTCCGTCTCCTCCTCCTGTTCCTCCTTGACCAGGGGCTCTTCCTCCTCCCGGCCAACCTTGAGGTGGGACTCAGTGCGAACCTCGGCGCGCATCAAAATGACGTCAAGGCTATCCGCGGCTGGGTCGCCCGCGAAGAAGGAGTCGATCTCCTTGGCATGGAGATCGTCGAGAGGCGTCACCAGGTCCGGCGAGTAATCTCGCTTGGAGCGACGCTCGGCCAGGCGTCGCTGGACGTCGCCCTTCGGCGGCTCGAGGGCCCGCCCGCGCGGAGCGGCCTTCCGCGGAGGCTCGGGCACGGCCTCCTCCGTGGGCTCGCTCTTGGGCGTGGACCCTCCATCGCTTCCCTCTGGAGCACCAGGGGGGTCCAGCTCGGGGTCGTCGCGAAGCCACCCCGGCGGATGGCTACCACCATAGATGTGGTGCGATCCATCCTCAAGCTGGATTCGGTCCCCTCGCCTCAGGAGCGGGACTCTCGAGTGATCGTACCCGTTGGCTTTGTGGTACCTAATCACTCGGAGCATGGGCACCTCCCCATACCCACCGTCCTTTCCTCGGCGGAACAGCCGTCCCCGCCAGTCCTGACGAAAAGGGTCAAGAGGTGCGGAGGGGCTGATCCCCAGGTTGGGCGGAAGAGAGGCGCCATGGCAGGCCGCCTGATGCAAGTGGTACTGCACCAGCGACTCAAACGCTAGCCCGCATCCCGGAGCCGAACATCCGTAGTGGCCGTCAGCGTTGGGGCGAGGCTCCTCTGAGGCTGAGGCGGACTGGGCGGTCCCGCCTCCCGAAGGCCTGGCGGTACTGCTCGGCCCTGCAGCCCCGGGGGCGTCCTGACCATCGTCAGACACCTCTTCCCCGTCGGCGCCTTCCCCGGCCGCCCGACTCTCTCCCTCTCGGCGCAGCGTTTTGAGGGACTCCTCCCGCTTGGTGATCTTCTCCAGCTTCACCATCGCAGTTCCCGCAACCTCCAGTATTCTCGACTGGAGCTTCTGCGCTCTAAGAAGAGCTTCGGACCGCGCGAGGTATTCCTTCGCGCTGGTGACCACAGACTGGCCGAGCACGAGGACTCCTTCCTCCGTGCTCTCGGCCTGGGCCCCACTAGCGGGCTCCTCGTCCTCCTTCACTCTGACCGCGGCTGGAGGCGCCCGCGTGTCGGGAAGATCCGAGCTGGAACTATCTTCCTCGACACCTTCAGCTGCTTGGGCTGCCTCTTCCTCGAGCGAGTCCTCGGGCTCGAGGACATTGGGGCCCGGGATGTTGCGCCTAGGGTACACCTTGGGCTTCGCTGGCACGATCGAAGTCCTAGGAGTCCCTAGGGGACGCCCTTTGGCCTTAGGCGCGGCCTTAGGAGGGGTAACAGGTTGGGCGGCCCCCGCGGCCATGACACGACCCGCAGGGGCCAGCACAACCGTCGAGGAGCTCGCCGCGCCACTGCTGGCCGCAGCAGCTTGGGACGCTTGGACCGTGCCCAGTTTCGGTCCTCGCCCCAACGGCGGGTTGGGGCCCGCACTGGGGTCGCCTAAACTCTTTAGGTCGACACGCAAGACCAACCTATCCACTTCCAACTCAGCTATCAAGTCTGAGTAGACAGGCGAGCCCCTGGGGAGTGCCCAGATGCGGGAAATGCCGGTGGCCCTAATCTGGCCAGTGAGGGCCACCCCATCCGCTCCTGCATAGATGGGCACTCCGGCGTCCCGCAGGACCGCCAGTCGGACCTCGACTATGCAAGTCGATCCGCGGCGGAACCTTCCGTTGTTCCACTGCGTGGGGCAGTGTCCTAGGACGTAGTGAACCCCGAGGCGGCCTCCCGGATCAGGCCATTCTGCAACAGGCTTGGCACGACATGCAAGTCCGTGCCGTGCCACATGGCCGGGCCATACTGACGGATGAGGTCGTCGATGGCCGTCTCACTTAGGCCCTCCATCATGAACCCCATCGGATGGCCGCAATCGGCAGAGTGGCCTTGGAAGGCACGAAGGAAACCAGCGTGCGAGGTATCCAACCTCGGTTTCCGCTGGCTGGCGTCGTGCGCGACCGCCTGGTTGTACTGGTTGATGGTGATCCCGAGTTGCTCGATCAACTCGTCAACCGGGTAGAGGCCGCCCGGACCGAACCGGCCTCTGCAGCCACCTTCGCTGTGCCGCATGCATCGGACTAGCAGGCGCTGCACGTCGTCTATCGTGGGCGGGCCCTTTCTGCCCTTAGGGCCTGGGCTCTTGCTTTTGCCCCTGCCCTTAGACCCTCCTCCACCCATCGCGGCACTGAGGCCCGCGGCTTTGCTGGACCTCCGATGGGTGAGGGAAACCTGACGCGCCCTTGAGCGGCCAGGACACGGCCCGCTGCAAGGGGCCGGTGTGCAGTAGTGGTAGGCAGCCGCTCCCGCGCGGCCAGGGCACGGCCCGCAGCGGGGCCTTGTGGTTGACCACGAAGGTCCGGGCGACCGATCGGTCGCTCCCGCGCGGTCTGGTCGCGACCCGCAGCGGGGCGCAGTGCACAGGCACGAACGCGGGGAGGGACTACCTACCCTAGGCTCTACAACACACTTGAACCGCTGCGGCGGGGGTTTGGGGAGTTTCCTTAAGGTCGGGGCTTTAAGGCTTCTACGGCTTCTGCTTCGACCTTGGACCGAACCTCTAGGCCTGCTTCCTACACACTGGCTGCGGGACACACGAACGAAGCTGCACGCGACGAACGACGGAAAATCCTTCTGTCCGCAGACCGGCGACCTGGGAAACGGCCCGCCCCAAAAACACCCGCCCTGAACACAGAAACACCCGAACAGCCCCAACATCCTGAGCATCAGAACGCGCGTGGGGTGATTCTGGTCCGAGCGCGCCGCGTCATGGTTCGCGCGCTTGGAGTTGTGCGCACCGCGAACGCCTAAGGCTTCAAGAGCAGACGACGCGCTCTGCGGAGCCGCGACTGCCCCCTTGGCGCACGCTTCGCGCACCGCCCCCTCGGCTTGGGCATCAGTGAAAAACTGCCCATCAATGACCCTACCCGTCCTAACAGTAAGATCATCCACGTAGGCAATCCACTCCTTAGTATACTTAAGGCGCCTACCTCTGCCGGGGGCATAGGCCCTATCAACCACAAAGTTGAAGTCATCTGGGCCGTTAATCGGGCCAAAGGTGAGGCCGACAGGGAGATACTTCCCTGATCTTGCCACAATGGCCAACACCTCGCGAGCACGCTTGGTGTTCCTAATCTGATTAAACCCACTAACCGCATCCACGAAGGTATACCAAACCGAACCTACTGCGGCGGCGAGCACATCGCTGCCCCGCCGACAATAGTACGTGGAGCGCTTAATTCGGGCATTCACACGGCGGTAGTCAACCACCAAGCGTCGCTTCCTATGCCGCTTGTAGCTGGGCATTTCCTTGGTCGGAAACGGCGCAGATCCCCAAGCCGAGCTGCCGCGGATCAACTGACCCCGCTTGCATTCTTCTTCAAGCTTGTCGTCGACCCATTGCGCGGACTCGCCCCT